CATCCCTGGAGTGCCCATCTCATGGGACCACATGGGGTAGAGCATGGACAGAGCCATATCCAGAGGAACGTGCCCCTGGGGAAGAGATGTGGAAGAACCCTAGTGTGTCACCACCTGTTTGTCATTTGAAATGCTTACAGTGAGCCGTACGCAGGGTCATTTTCAAGGTAAAAGAATAAGCGTTAAAAATGCTCTTGTTGTCTGAATCTCAAAACCAACGTTTTTTCCCAAGATCATGAGTTCAGTTGAGCTATTGTAGAAGAAGAAATACCAGCTTGAACCAAATATGAATGTGTAAAATGGTAAAACCTGACCTCTTGCATCCCTTCCCCTTCTCTGTCTTCTTTTTGAGAGTTTGGAGGATTCTTTCCCTTCTTTGAATCACAGTCTGTTAAAACACTCACCAGACTGTACTGTGAGAAGGGGTAATAGACCCCCTGGAAATCCTGGCTGCTTTTTGGTGCACACAGATGGACCTACAGTTAGCTGTAACCCCTGATTACTTTGGACTTCAGCATTCCGCTCTGTCTAGGTCATCGTCTCCATACCTTGCTCCTCCAGGTGCCTCATCTGCTAAAAAATCCCAGCAGACCCATGCTTGATCGTGAGCACACTCGGGAGGTTCTGTGCTGGCCCACCTCCTGTGTGTGGTTGAACCATGCCCTTGGCCTGCCCAGAAGGGCTGCAGTGACATGGAGTGGCCATCAGAACCACAGCCCAGGACAAACTGTGGGGACAAACCAAGAAGCAAGTTGCTATAGCTGGGCACTCCCTTTACAGAGTGGTTATGACAGTAATGTGTGGATTCCTTCCAGAGTATCAGGGAAAAGCAAAGATCATGTTTCACTGTCTGGTGTGTTTTAAGGGATGTAGATTTTATTCTGCATGATTAGGAAGTAATTAGCAGCTTAAACTGGATGCCTTCACTCAGAGTTGATTCTGCCACTCTCACTCAGCATGAGATGAGAAAAATGGTGGAAATCCTTCACTCATAAATTCCCAGGGGGTCCACCTCAAATCCTTGGTTCAATGCAAACACGAGATCACTCTGTCCTTCATTGAATACATAACATCTGAGCTGGCTACTTCATGGGACCCCACATTCCTTGGGAAACGTGAAATGGAAATGATCAGACCCTGGAAAAGGAACCCAGTGACCTGATTATTTAATGACTGTACTAAGAAAGAGTCTGGGCTCTCCAGACAGCACACCTGGGCAGGACGAGGGTAGCAGAGTCTGAACTTCTAGAAACAAGGCCTTCTAGGACTCGAAGGGCTCAGCCTGTGACGGGATTCAGCCATGATTGGATCTCATTTCCACTTTGTTCCTCCAATTCCTTCCCAGACCTGTGCTCTCCTCATTTGCAGAGTGGGGAGGTGATAGCACCAGCTCCCTGTGCTCTTCTTCTGGGAGGCACACCAGACAGTGTCCAGACAGACTTCCACCAAGCTGGGCATATTAAGTGTCACCCTGCCTTGTCACTTCACGTTGGAGGACAGCACACAGCGTAACTGTGTCAAAGGCTGTTTGCGACTGGGGAGACAGTTCCCAAGGCTCAGCAAGCATGGCCATCTGCATTGGGGAGAAGAGCAGGATTGAGGGGGGAAGTGCCATCTGGGGAAGGCAGGCTCGTGTCTCAGTGCTGCGTGGGAGTGCTGGACATGGCCTCGTTGGCCCTCGGATCACTCGCCGGGTTTGGTACACATTGTTCTTCCTCTGGGTGAATGGCCAAGGTTTTAAAGGATGGCGAGTATGTGAGAAGGGAAAGCTCAGGGACTGGGGCGAGCTAGCCGAGGTCACAGAAACCTGGACGTAAAAGTAGACTTGGAGCCTGTGCTGGTCAGGTTTTTGCCACTGTCACCGAAACACCTGGCCACAACTTAGAGGAGGAAAGATTCATTTTGGCTCATGGTTTCAGAGGTCTTGGCCCGTGGTCCATCGACTCCTTTGCTCTGGGCCTGTGTCGAGGCAGAACGTCACGGTCATGGCAGGAGGATGTGAAGGAGGACAGCTGCTCAACTCATGGCAACCAGGAAGCAAAGTGATAGGGAAAGAGAGGGAGAGGGACAACGGGGGCAGGAACACACATACTCCCCAAGGCCACACTTCAAGTGATCTTCCTCTAGCCACGGGCCACCTGCCTACAGTTACCAGCCAGTAGTCCATTCAGCTATTAATGGATTAATCCAGCAAATGGATTAATCTGCTGATGAAGTCAGAGCCCTCACGATCCCATCATTGCCTAAAAGCCCCACCTCTGAACCTCACTGTCCTGGGGACCATGGGGACCATGGGGCACAGTCCCAGATCCTAACTATAAATAACAAAGCCCATTTCTCCCAACATGCCCATGTCTCCTGCTAATGGTAGCAGCCACAGTCACAGTCTCCTCTGTGTCTGGGGTGCTGTGTCCCCGCCCAGGTCACAAGTGTACACCATGCACATGTGCCCAAACACACAAGCATACAGGCATGCACAAGCCCTGTAGTGAAAGGACTTGAGGGCTGTCCTGATCCCTGCTGTGCTCAGCGGTACCAGCCTCCAGAAGCAAAGCTCCCATGCAAATAGGGTCCAGTGGGAGTGCAGTTTGCTCCCCCAGGATCCTCTACCCACTCCAGCCCTCCTACTCTGGACCCTGCTCTGCGTCTCTTCTCCCCCGTCCCTCCCCAGGTGCCCGTCCAGTATTCCACCCGCTCCTCACTCCCCCAGCTCCCCTGCAGCAAGCAGGGCCTTGCAACCAGCTGGGGCAGAGGTGATGCCTACCTACAGCCTGGCAGAGCCCACTGCTCCCCAGGCCCTCTCTTTGGCAGGCCTACCTCAACTCATGTTCTGTGCATGTATGAAGACGCTTCAGTGAAACCCACGATTCTGCATAATGAATATGCATTGATAAAAAGAAATCAAATTAAATAAAAACTGGCAGGTCACCCACCTACTGCAAGTTGTCGGGGTTCAGCTACAAGAAGCAGGATGTCGGTTGGTCTGTGGGGAGCAGAGGGAGGCTGGGGATCAAGAAATAATATTTTTTGAGTGAGATGAGCCCCTGAGGTCACAGGAGTATCCGTTGCCACAACTCATTACTCTAACCAAATAAGCACCTACTATGCATCAGGCGCTAGTCCATGAAACATTCACCAGCCTCGTGGGACAGGAGAGATAAATAACTATTCTACAAAGCATGCTCCGTTCTATGTAGGGCATCTGCAGGATGATGTCAAGAATAGGCGCTACCTCCTTGTGTATTTCCGTCGAGGCAGGCCCCTCTGAAGAGGCCACGCCAAACCCCCAAACTGCGGCACCAGGTCTGGCTTAGCTATCCCAGGCCATGTTTCCATAGCAACCCCAGGCCCACCCATGCCTAGCCTCATTTCCTTAGGCTTCAATCAGGCTATCCAAGGGGAGAGGAGAGAGTTATGTTTTGGACAGGACCCTGATCCCAAGGCGTTAAATGGCTCCTACTTCAGTCTGTACTAGTCCAGCCCTGCACCAAGCGCTGATTCCACCAAGTGGCTGAGAGCCCTGAGTCAGCTCCTGAAGCAGAGCTCTGGTCCCTCTGTGACACAAGGCTGGGACATGTCCTCAGGAGGCTTCCTGCCCCCTGACTCCCAACACGCCCCTTCCTCTGGGCCTCCGCAGAGCCTTCAGCTCTCCTCGGCGGAGACGGCCGCTTTGGCCTGAGACCCCACCATCCCCACCAGCCCATCAGCATCCCCAGCAGTGGAAGAAACCAGAAAACCCGCAGAAGGAAGAGAGTTCTCTATAAAACTGATGGACTCTGAGGACAGTCACTCCCACTCCACCCCCAAAGCTATTGCCACCTTAAAATTAATTTCTGATTGAAAGCGATCATTCAGACTGAAGACATCCGGACAGGGAGACAGCTGGTCAGGCTGCGTTCTCAGGCGCCTAGGTCAGCAAATCCCAAAGCATCTGCTCAGCACTTTCAGATTCCTCCACAGAAGTCCAGCTCTCTCCCCCCAGCCCCTAAGGCCAGAGATCAGGGTGGCTGCCCCAGGGCCGGCTAGTGGCAGGCCCCCTCCTGGCCCTGCCTGTGGACACCAAGTTACGTAAATTAAATAAATCTACTTGGACTCATCTGTGGTCTGCAAGTTTTCCTCATTGGCCTGACTTCCCTGAATAGCTCAAAAACGAGATTTCTATTATGAAAAATGACTTAAGAGTTTCAGATTGTTCTCCTGCCCTGAGTGCCATGGTTTTAATTAGCAGCATGGGCAAGTGGTTCTCCCTGGCAGACAGTAGCCACCAGCCCTACGGGGGCGGACAAAGAGGCAGTGAGAGGAATCTGCTGCTGCCTTGATCCTGCCAGCACTGAAGCCGCATTTCAGAACAAGCCCACAAGACAAGCTTTCGGGCCACAAGCATCTTCTGGCAGAACACAGGGTGCAGAGCAAGACGGACGGGTGGCTCTGCAGTGCCCATTCTGCACAGAATAGACAGCAGAGAAATGCAGCTGCAGAGAGTGCCCAGACAGGCCTGGCAGCAGTTTGGCACAGCAGACTCGTCAAGCCTCCCCGGGTACCACTTGAGCGCCAGCCTCGAGGAAACCATCAGCTGTGGCTCTAATTAATTACAAGCTCTGCTCACCCGGGACTGGCACCACACAAGAGTCAAAGCTCTGCACCTGTGGAGCCCCCTGGTGTGACCAGCCTCCCGCTGTGGCACAGCAGCAGACAGCCCTTCCACCGCTGCCCTGGGGTGAAGGCTGTGCCTGACCACCAGCCAGGGAGCCCAGAGAGAGGATTCCACCAGGTTTCACTGAGCTGCCTTCTTTGGCCCGTGTGTGACCGCTCTTGTTAATGGCAAGAAGTGGACGGGATTGCGTTAAGTTCCTTCCCTGTTCTCCCCAGTCACATGACAATGTCCCCTCCACCAGCAGCTTAGGACCAGGGGAACACAGGCACCCCTCAGTGCTCAAGAATTCTCAATTCCTGGGTATGCTCCCAACAGGATTCAGGTCAGGAGTGTCCCCTGCCTTTTGTCTGTCAGGAGCAATCACGGGTGTCCATGAAGGACGGAACCCCAAGGATAGACAGGCAGAGAGGACAGGGGTGCTGCGAAGTGCCCCTGGACGCTCAGGTGTGCTGGAAACATCATTTCCGTTTTGCATAAATTCACTTTTGGGGCAGCAGCATTCACCTTTAAAAAGTGACCCCAGACAGGCTGGTGTTTCATAAACTGCCACCATCCCAAGGCAGCTGAGCAGCACCGCAGGCCTGTCCCAGTGCCTCCTCCCTGTGCCCCCACCTGTGCCGCCCACCTTGGCAGTCGCTGGCTTTTGGACGGGTTATAGGTTCTCGAAGTGAACAGGTTTCACAGGCATCTTCTCCCCGTGGCTGAGGACTGCAGCCCAGAGCGTGCCGCAGAGCTGTTCTCCTTCCTGGCTCTGCCCCCAACTCACTGCAAACCTGGCCGTCCTCTCAGTGCACTCTCAGCCCACCCCGAGAAGCAGCCTCGGCCTCAGCAGTGGCCCTGCTCACCTTCGCCCTCACCCTCCGCCTTCCTCCTGCCCCCTTGGCCCCACTTACCCAAAGCATTTCCTGGGCACTGCCCTTGTTAGCCACTTGTTCCCAAATGCTTGTCTCAGTGACTACTTTGGGGACACCTGTGTGAAGAGATCAGAACACATCTGGTAACACCAAGCCCTCAGCAAAGTCAAGTTAACCTGAAAGATGCACGTGTGTGTGTGTCTGCATGCATGGAGACCTACAGGGGTGTGTGTGTATGTGTCTGTGCGTGGAGATCTCCAGGGGTGTGTGTGTGTGTGGTGTGTGTGTGTGTGGTGTGTGTGTGTGTGTCTGAATGCGTGGAGATCTACAGGGGTGTGTGTGTGTGTGTGTGTATGTGCCTGCATGTGTGGGGATCTACAGGGGTGTGTGCATGTGTCTGTGTGTGTGGAGGTCTACAGGTGTGTGTGTGTGTGTGTCTGTGTGCATGGAGATCTACAGGGATGTGTGTGTGTGTGTGTGTATGAAGACCTACAGGGGTGCGTGTGTCTGTGTGTGTGGAGGTCTACAGGGGTGTGTGTGTGTGTGTCTGTGTGCATGGAGATCTACAGTGATGTGTGTGTGTGTGTGTTTGTGTGTGTGTGTATGGAGACCTACAGGGGTGCATGTGTCTGCATGTGTGGAGATCTACAGGGGGTGTGTGTGTATATGTCTGTGTGTGGAGGTCTACAGGGGTGTGTGTGTGTGTGTCTGTGTGCATGGAGATCTACAGGGGTGTGTGTGTGTGTGTGTGTGTGTGTATAGAGACCTACAGGGGTGCGTGTGTCTGCATGTGTGGAGATCTACAGGGGTGTGTGTGTATATGTCTGTGTGCGTGGAGATCTCCAGGGGTGTGTGTGTGTGTGTGTCTGCATGTGTGGAGATCTCCAGGGGTGTGTGTGTGTGTGTGTGTCTGCATTTGTGGAGATCTACAGGGATGTGTGTGTGTGTGTGTGTGTGTGTGCATGGAGACCTACAGGTGTGTGTGTGTGTGTGTGTCTGCATGCGTGGAGATCTCCAGGGGTGTGTATGTGTGTGTGTGTCTGCATGCGTGGAGATCTACAAGGATGTGTGTGTGTGTCTGTGTGTGCATGTGTGTCTGCATGCTGGAGATCTACGTGTGTGTGTG